CTCCAGCCCCCTCACAAATTTCTAAATTTTAGAGCCTGAAGTGTCTGTTTACTCTCTGATAAAGGAATGTGTCCACACAGCACGTGAATCACCTAGGGCACGCCTTGTTCTCAGTTTCATCCCTTCCCTAGCTGATAACACCGCATCCTGGTGCAGCAGCAGCAGGAGAGACCCCAACCCACAGTCCATGAACACACATACACGGTATTCTTGTAAAACCAAAGTCAGGACTCCCCAACCTCTGCATCGTTTTCTAGCTTATCACAACATAATTTTACTTTGATAAACCTTGTGGCTATAGGCTGGTCCTGTTATATCCCCTGTACTTTGTAACCGTCGCTTCCGCTGACACCGCCCCCCCCCCAACCCCGGGCACCCCGACCCCAGGCACCGCAACCCGAGTGCCCTTATCCCTGACACCCCAACCCGAGCATCTTCACCTCACACACCCTAACCCCAGTGCCACACCTTGATGGGCTTGGTTTTGTAGGGGCTAAGGCACTGCCCGTGCATCTCCTCCATAGCCCGGCAGGCCTGTGAGCTGCGGGCGAACTTGATGAAGGCGACGCCCTTGGACTCCTTGGTGTGTTTGTCGCGCACCACCCAGATGTCCTGGATGTCTCCGAAGGGAGAGAAGCGCTCCCGCAGCACCGACTCGGGAGTGTACTTGCTGATCACTAGGAAGATGCGGCTGTTGGGCGGCTCGTCCAGGCTGTCCACGCCGGGGCGGAAGCCTCCGCTGCCCGCGGAGCTGCTGGCGTCGTCCATGGTGCCCCACGTAGGAGAGGGAGCCTGGCCGGCTCGGTCCGCCCGCTCGCCCACCAGCCCGCCGCGGCGGTTGCACACCTCCGCTTCCGGAAGAGCGCTGAGCCCCGAAGCAGGTGCGGTCCCCGGCGAGAGAGTCCGGCTTCCGGGAACCTTCTGCAGCGCCCCCTGGCGCCACGGTGGACTCTGAACAGCCCCAAATTTCAGTCCCATGCTAACAGAGGATCAGCCTGTGCAAACCGAGCTGCCTTGTGGCCAAGAAGACCCCACCTGCCAGATGCTTAAGCCTTCCCAAAGCTGGCGTCTGGTTTCTTCTAAGCCAAAAATGGTGTCGTTACGAAAAGATTACTCTTCACCCTCGTAAGAGAGAGACTGGAAGTGGTGACACATGCCTGTAATCCGAGTCTCTTAGGCAGAATTAGTGAGTTCGAGGCTAGGATCTGGGCAACACGCTGTCTCAAAAATAAAGCAATAACAAAAACACCAAACTAAAAATAATAATAATAAAAAAAGGCAGACCTTACTCATAAGGGCCCATCGTGACAGGTACAGAGGACTTGCAGCAAGGGAGAGAGGCGACTTGGTTCAGGAAGAGAAGTGGAGATTTATAACAGGGCAGTGTGGAAGTCAGTAGATGAAAAGTTACTGAAGATTGGGGGTAAGAGGGACTCTTGGTAGACCTGCTTCACAGAATTCACGCTGCAGGCTGGCCAGAGGGGTAGATATTAACAGCGGTCAGACATCAGGGCAGGAACCACCATGAAACTGATTTATCAGAATTTGTCCTCATTCTGGATGCCCCGAGGACATAGAGCCAGAAGTTGGGGATGGTCAAACAGAAGACTTGGGGGAGCTTGTCTGAAGTTTTGGTTTTTGACAAAAAAAAAAACCAAAGTTTTTTTGACAAAGACTTTGTCACCATTTTGACCATAAGCTCAATTAGGAGTCGCTAGAGACAAAGTTTGTGGTGGTTTGAGTAGAAATGGCCCCAATAGAGTCATAGATTTGAATGCTTGGTCTCTAGGAAGTGGTGCTGCTTGAGGGGATTAGGAGGTGTGGCCTTGTTGGAGGAAGCACATCACTGGGGGGTGTGCTTTGGGAGTTTCAGAGCCCCAAGCCAGACCCAGTGGCCCTCTCTTCCTGCTGCCCAAGGATCTGGAAGTAAAACTCTCAGCTCCTTCTCCAGCACCATGCCTGCCTATCTGTGGCCATGCATCCCACTGTGGTGACAATGGACTAACCCTCTGAAACTGTAAGCAAGCCCCAGTTAACTGCTTTCCTTTATAAGAATTACCATGGTCAGCGTGTCTCTTCACAGCAAATGGAACCTGACTAAGACAATTAAAACCACAGAGCCTGGTGGCCGCACAGCGTCTTTACAAGCATAGAATCCTAGCCCCATTCTTTAGAGGTGGGGAACCTGAGGCCCAAAGTTAAGAGGCTCAGGTCACAGAACTAGGCCCTGGGGTTAACGTAACCCTCTGTTTGATCTGCTCAATTCCCACAAGCACTTCCAAGAGGCGGGGGGAGGGGGGGGGATGGTGTCTGCTCACCTAGGAAGTAGGAGAAATTAGAGGTCCCAGTGAGGTGGGAAATACCTGCTGGCTTTTAGGACTTGTTAATGAGCCTCGATGAGGAGGTCAGCAGCCAGCTAGAGCCGAAGACTGAGTTAGCCTTTACTAGCCCCGGAATGAAAGGAAAGAAAGAACCGCAGAAGCGGGCTAGGAGTACAGCTCCTAAAGGGCCCATATCCCGGCTGTAAGATCTGGCCATCTATGAAGTCCAACGAATCCATATTTGCTGTGCGCCAACTGTGGGCCAGGAGCTAGACACTCGGTGGTAGAACAAGAACCATCTTGTCACAAGATCCTGTAAACTCCTTGCGTAGTTCCTGCTCCAGACATGTCAACTGTAGAGTAGAAATAACGCTACTATAATTAGTGGAGCAGTTAGCTGTCAGATACAATTAGTGAAGTTACCCATTTGTTCAATTTATTAACTTTAATGAATTTAATAAATTTTTCTAGAGACTTTTATTTATTTTTATTTTATATATTTGAGTGTTCTTCCTGCATGTATGTCTGTGCACCACTTAGATACAACACCTGTGGAGGTCAGAAGAGGGCACTGGATCTCCAGGAACTGAACTTACAGATGTCTGTGAGCTGCCATTGGTGTGTGTCTTGACCACGGAGCCATCTGTCCAGCCCCTTAACAATATTTTGACACAGAGTCTCACTCTCTGGTACAAGCTGGTGTTGAACTTTAAAGTTTTGCCTCGGCTTCCCAAGTGCTGGGATTATAGATTAGATGTGTGCTACCACACTTGGAAAATAATGTTTTTAAATTTTAATTGTGTGTTGAAGACACAAGAAACAAATTAGTAAACAAAATGACCATTCTTTCTTCTCTGCTCAAAGTTAACAGTTTAACCTTGTGTAATGATACATAGAGCTAATAGTTCAGGGACCAAATGAAACAATATGTGTACAAAGACAGAGGAGAGGCTAATCTAGTTCCCTTTGACTCTAGTGTCCACACCTTCCGTGTTGTGTAGCTAATGCTAAGAGTCAGGAATTGCGGATTGTTACAATGAATTTGACACAGGAGTTACAGTCATCTCTTACAGTCATCATTATGTCCTATGTCTGCAAAGGGAGTGTTCTGTTTCCATGGAGCTTAGAAAGAAACAGGAAGCAGCTTGTCATATCTTTCCTCTGTCCCTCGTCTTAGGAAGACCTGTCAAAGCAGTGAAAGAAAGGAATCCTTTTACTGATGCGAGGAAGTGCAAAGAGTACCAGTAAGACCATTTGCACACTGGCGCCACCTAGTGGGAGATTTTTTAGACTGCAAAGGCTGTAAAATAAGTAAACTATACTAATTTGTACCCTGAAGTTTTAAAGCTTATATTATTATTTCCTTAAAGAAAAGCACTGGAAAATTAGCTTGGCCTATAGCGTGCACACACACACATACATACATACACACACACACGCACACATAAGAAATGCTAGTCTCCTTCAGTCTGCATGCTTTTGAAAGGCATGTGATTCAATTAGAAGGCATCTTTAAAGTGTGTAGACTGCAGGACAAAACTCATAGGTGTCATTTAGAGTGGTTTCAATCAATTATTTGGTTACTATGGCTATTTAAATTAAAATACAATTTCTTATGATTAAAAATGATTGAAATAGTTACAGATCGAGTTCCTCCGTCTAATTAGACGTATTTCCAGTGATCAGGAGCAGTCTGTGACTTCTAACAATGCCCACACAGAATATTCCTGAAACAGCAGAAAGGGCTGTTGGACAGCACTGCTCTTAGGGAGTGGAAACATTGCAGTCCCTGTCTTCAACCAACGCACACACTTCTCACTAGCGCATTTCCAAGAACTTTGATTATTCGACCATTATAGAAAATTATTTTGATATTCTTACTTCTCTGTCCCAGACTCATCACTGACGGCTCACTGATATGATCGTGTGACCACAGAGAAGGCAGTCTCCCTACTATATTTTCTAAACACAACGTTGACTTTCTTGCCTTTTTCCTTTTAGTCCCATTGCCCTTTATCTCAGCCCTCCCTACTCTGTCACCTTCCTATGACTTTTTTTAAAAATTTATCTATCTCAGTCCTTCTCTAAACTGCTCGTAGCGATTAGTATTTTGCAACCCGGCTGTCAGTTCCTATGTTATTGAATTTTCATGTCGTTTATTGGCAATGCTTTTCTTAATGTTTTTCGAGACAAGGTCTCACTTCGTAGTACAAGCTGACCTAGAACTCATGCTGATCCTCCTGCCTCAGTCTCCTGATGGTAGGTGTACAGGATTGTGCCACCATATTGAGTTTATATTGCGATAATTCAAGCTTGTTGTACTTTTAACCTCTGGCCACAGTGAGACTGTAATTCATGAACGGTTGGGCATGCAGGGTTCAGTATTTGCCCTTTGAGTTTGGTTGATACGATGTTTTGCTAACAGTAAGCATCTCATCAATGTGATTTGATTGTAGCCACCAAATGTTCCTGGCCTAGTCATAAAACAGATGCCGCTCCACGTTTGTACACAGTATAAGAGTACAGAGATTTTCTTAGGTGAAGGTCGAACAAACAAAATATCACACCAGAGGCAGTTAGATTTGGAGGCCATCCAGCCTCTGCGAGAGTTGGGAGTTCCGCGGGATCTTTCAGCCAATCAGCAGCGAGGACGGAGCCGGCCATCAGCTGGCGCTGGATCCGGTCTCTAGGAGGAGTCCTGGGGCACAGAGGCGGCACCTTAGATCTTGGCCTCACTGCATCAGGGGACCAAGGGTGGCACAGGGCACCTCTGCTGTGATTGTGGTAGGTGCTGGCCGATTAGAAGAGCGTGGGCTGGGCAGATTTGCCCTGTGAGCCCTGCTTGTGGGCGGAAGCAAGGAGGGCCTAGATGTACCCAGAGAGGAGCGTTCAACGGTCCCCAGCCAGGCAGAGCCAATCCAGTATCCTGTCGATTAGGACTGCTTGTTGTGCCTCTGTTACCCGGGTGGGAAGCATGGCTCAAAAAAGCTTTCCGCGCATGTTGGGCAGAGGTTGGTAACGATGTAGAGGCCTGGGCACTTGGGAAGCTGGATTCTTGTTCCAGCTCATAGTGTTACGGCCACTCTCTTGGGCTGTGATTGTAGATACCGGTGAAGGACTGGTAGAGTGAGATTTCCTCGGTCACGTTATCTCGCCCCACCTTATACAAAGGAAATTGAAAATGAAGTTTATGCCCTGGGAATGCTGAAGCATGAATGGGCAGCCCGTATATGGCAGTTCTGTTGAACTTGACCATGTTGGATTTCATGGTCTAAGTTGATGAGGACGACCGACCTGGTCTATTCCTTAAGAGGACACCAGATTTCATTACAGATGGTTGTAAACCACCATGTGGTTGCTGAGATTTGAATTCAGGACCTTTGGATGCTCTTAACCGTTGAGCCATTTGGTCAGTAGTCCTTATGAATTAAGACCATGAAATCCAATATGGACAAGTTCAACAAGAACCACCATGTATAGGCTACACATGCATGCTTCAGTATTGCCAGGGGCTGCCTTATACAACCACATGTTTCGTGGGTTTTTGTGTGTGTTTACTATTTATCCTTAAAGTATTCTAGTGAGCTTCCCCTCCCTCCTCCACCAGTTGAATTATTTGGATTTTGTAAAATTTAAAGGCTTTCTTGGTGCCTTCGTTGTTCTTACATTTCTCTTCCGGTCATGAAAAGTTAGACATAGTCCATGGTAGACAGCAGTATTAAAAACTACTTATGGCCTGAAAAGTAACAGGGGACTTACCTAGTGTGTGTGAGCCCTAGGTTTGATCCCTAGCACCACTAAAATGTAAAACAAACAACAAAAAACAAATAAACAACAACAAATCATCCAACCTTCCTTTTTTTATAATTTAAAACAATTTTCAGTGAGATGGTGGTAAATGCCTTTGATCCCAGCACTCGGAGGCAGAGGTAGGCAGATTTCTGAATTCAAGGCCAACCTGATCTATAGAGAATTTCAGCACAACCAGGATTGTTACACAGAGAAACCCTGTCTTGAAAAACCAAATAAAATAAAATTTAAATATATTTTGATCATATTCTTTCCCTTCCCCAAGTCCTTCCAGATCCTTTCCCCATACCTATTCACCCAACTTTACCCTTTCTCAAAAAAAACAAACAAAAACCCAACACAACAACCCCCAAACCAATAAAATAAAACACTACCCCCAAAGGAAAAAAAAAACAATAACAACAAAAACCCACACCAAACTGTAACCAAATAAAAACATACACATAAAAAACTAGAGTCCAATGTATGTTGATCAACTACTGAACATGAGGTCTGCCCTGGAGGGGCTGATTTCACTCAATCTTTAAGTGATAGTTTGGGGGAAAATAAGCATATTTAATGTTTTAGTTACTGTATTCAACAGAGTACTCAAAGGGAGGCAAACCTGTAGGGTTACAGATCTAATGCTACTCCGTCCCGTTCTTTCCACCACTCATCAGTTGTGACCTGCACCAGGTTGATTTCCATGTGCCTCCCTTGTTTTATTCGGATGTAGGAAAACATGAGCAGTAACCGACTCAGAGCTGTGCGGATCCACTGAGTTCACGGCACACTTGGCTTAGAACTCAGGCACGTTGCTGTTCGTTAGTACTGAGACTACTTCAGACTCAGGTGAATAGTCGGTTCTCATAGTTCATGTCACACCTTTACCTGTTTCTTCTTGCATACAAAGTACTGGTAAAAGCCAGTTGTGGTCACGGAGCCTATAACCTGCACGCGGATGGCTGAAGCAGGAGGACTGAGTTCGAAGCCAGCCAGCTCAAACTACAGTGATTCCGAGGCCACATAAAAAGACTCTCGAACAAACAAAAAGACAGCAATAAATAAGTAAATACCGATAGAGTATCTGCTAGTTTCATGACGAATCAGTTTCTTTCTTGCCATTGCTGAATCTCTTGGTTTTATATTACCTGGAACAAGACTGTCAGTGTCTGCTCCAGCAACAGTAGTCTATGACCAAAGATAGTGACAGTAAAAGTCACGCGGTGACTGATGCTGGCAGAGCACTGAACGTAAGTATTTTTGGCACGTGACTTTGATGAGAAATCAAATTTAGAGTTTCCTAAATTACTAGTAACATTTAATTGGCACAGCTCAATCTGTCTTGTATAGAAAGTCACGAATGAATACTCTGGGGAGCACTTTGATGGTGTGTTGTTCTTCACGATACAGACTTTACAGTTACAATGTACATATTTTACAAATTGTCATGTTTTCTTCTGTGGAGGAATTTCTCTCTTTTATGGCTTTAATCAAAGACCCACTGCGTTTTGAAAATTTTTGCAGTGTCTTGGCTGTTGTCAACCTCTCTTCCATAAAGTAAGTTTTCTCTTACACCTAATACTGAGTGCTAAATTATTTGCTTTTAACTGCAGCACACTGATTGGCCGTCTTTTGGGGGGTGGATTAATGATGGTTATTGGCTCCTGATCAGATTTTAAAAGTGAGGAAAACGCCGCTCTCATCTTTGTGTAATGACTTTCATTATTCAATACTGTTTTTTTTTTTCAAATTTGTCAGATTAATTGACGCAAATATTTTGTTTCTTAGTGGGATTATGTAAACAAATATATTCTTGGGACTGTATTGTCAAAGAATGTCATGATTTTAGTAATAGTAATTTGTTAAGTTTAAATCCATCTTAATCACGAACTCCCCTGTTCTCATTCTTCACAGAACACAAAGTGTAGGGAAACATAGCCCAGGTAGGCCAACCATTATCATGTCAGCGGCTCTGTGTTCGTGCGTGTGTTGTGTGCGCGTGTGTGTGTTGTATGTGTGTGTGTATCGTATGCATGTATGTGGTTGAGCCTGTTTGTGCAGGCATATATGGAGGCCAGAAGATGATGCTAGAATGTCTTCCCTGATCGTTTCTCCATCTTGCTCTTAGAGACAGGCTTTCTCACGTAAGCCCAGAGCCCTGCTTGCTAGGCTCTCAAGAAGTTCCTGTTCCCATCTTCATAGCAGCAGGGGGAAAGGCACACTCTGGGAGGTGATGCCAGGGACTCTGTTCGCTATACCTGCCGAGCCATGCCCAGACTTCAAAGTTCAGCTTATGGAGTTGTAATTATTTACTTTTCATGCCATTTTGGACAAGAAGCATTTATTTAGCTGTCCAACTAAATTTTTGGCGGTCACTGAAGCACCTTAGTTCAGAATCTTGTTTGTATCTCTTGCTACACAACAAGATTGTCCACACTTAACACAATATATTTTATGCTGCACTGATACCATGTTCCAGTGAGGCCTGAGCTCAGTAATGTCATTTTTTATTACTTTCAGGTAATACTTGTTACAAATAAAGTAAGTACAAAAGTCGTGTTACATGTTATCTTATAGGGGCCCCACTTTTTTCTGGTTGATTTTAATCTCCTATGCATGGCGCTGTGATGAGTGTGTAAGCAACACGTTTACCTGTCACGCTTGTTCTGTTCTTCTAAGTGAAGGGATGTCCGTGTCACACAGCATTTTTGCATATGCATTTAAATTAATATAATTGTTTGAAGGCTGTGGTAAAACCAGGCTTATACCAATCGGCGTATATGAAGAAGCTAAGACTAAAAATTTAAAATAAGTCTAATCAGGTGGCTGTGATGACACACACCTTTAATCCGGGAAACAGATGCAGCTGGATCACTGTGAGTTTGAGCCAGCCAGCTTGGTCTATAGAGAGTCCCGGGACAGCCAGGGTTACATAGTGTGATCAAATCAACAAAACAAAAGTCTGACGAATGAGATGACTGAAGTGTCTATAAAGCTGGATGCTGTAACACATCTGCATTTTTGAGTACTCAGACATTAAAGCACATGTACATTAAATGCTATGGTTTGCTTAATGTTATTGACATTCCCTTCAGTCAGAGTAACGGGATCCTTCTCCCTCCCAGTTTTCTTTCCAGGTTCGCAAATCTGCTTTTGTCTTTGGTCTGTGACTTAAGGTCTCATCGCAGAACAAAATGGGAGATGCTGAAGCAGGCAAGAAGATCTTTGTTCAGAAATGTGCTCAGTGCCACACGGTGGAGAAAGGTGGGAAACACAAGACTGGTCCAAACCTCTGGGGCCTTTTCGGCCGGAAGACAGGACAAGCACCAGGATTTTCTTACACCGATGCAAACAAGAATAAAGGTAAAGGCCAGGAGCGGTGGGAGATGCTCGGAGACTTTATTGCAGGAAAGACTGTTCGGGGTCTGGTGTGGAAGTGTTTGCCTAACTATTGCATTGGAAATAGACTCCCGTTTCTGATAACTGAAATGCTGTTTTTTGCCATAACATCTGGATTTAGATAGCTTGTTATCCCTCTAACCAGAAGACTCGAGTCTTTCATGACATAGAATTTGCCCATGTAGACTGTTTTATATGTTAATTTTATGTTACATTTATCTTGAGAAAGTGTGGGTTAAGTCTAAAAAAGAAAACATTTTAATGGCATGATAGCAGTGGTGATTCTTAGCAGTGTTGGGAATATAAAGTTTGAAAATATATTTAACAATTTGGTATTGGTTGGTAGAAGGGAGTTAAACAGTAAGGTGAGAAAGCTTTTTAGAATTGAGTTTAAAGACAGCTAGAAAAAAATCTATAGTATCTGCGCAAAACAGTTGGTTTCATGCATGTGTGTGCACAGACATATATAAATAGATTAGCACAGCAAATATTCTTAAAGTACAACTCTCCTTTGAACTGTTCTTGGTGGCCTACCATACAGACCACAATCTCGGAGCACTCGTATCTGACGAGGGTCTCAGTGTATAGTCCAGACTGACTTTGAACTCATTTATAGCCCAGCTTCGCCTCAAATTCACTGTGATCCTCTTGCAAGTGCTAGAATTATAGGTACATAGGCTATTTTAATTTTTTTAAATTGGAGTGAAATTCACGCAACATTTAGCTAGTTATTTTAGAGTATGTAATTTATTAACATTTAGCATTCATGATAGTGTACCATCATCACCTCTCCCTAGCTTTATTTATTTGTTTGTTTATTTGCTTGCTTACTTGTTTATTTATTCACGTATTCATCCATCCATCTATCTATTTATTCTTTTGAGACTGGTCTCACTATGTAGACCAAGCTAGTTTTGAATGCACAGAGATCCACTTGCTTCTGCCTCCCGAGTGTGGGATGGAGGTGCATGCTGCTATGTCTGCCTTCAGAACTTTTTAGAACGAAACACACCATAGCACCTTCATCTATTATGTAGCCACCCCTCCTAGCTCTGTTCTTCGATGGCTGCTAGTCAGCTCTGTCTCTTTGGATTTGCATGTTGACTGTTTGATGTGCAAGGAATCCTGTAACAAGCTACTGTTTGTGTCTGTCTTCCTTCACCAGGCATGATGCTTCCAAGCCCATAAAAATTGTAGCCAGTATCAATACTTCAGGATAATTCTGATGGTGACTCCAGCACGTGGTTTCGATCTCCACTTTGTAGTGTGCATGCGTGTGTGTGTGTGTGTGTGTGTGTGTGTGCGATTAACGAGTGCCCAGTGCACATGTGGAGATCACAGACAGCTTGCAGGAGTGGGTTCTCTCCTTCCACTATGTAAGTCCTGAGGATAAAACTCGGGACGTTGAGTCAGGCCTGCACTGTCATTGTGTTCAGGATGTGCAAAAATGCTGGCAAGCAGGTATTGTACGGTAAAGGATTTTGTTCTTCTCTTGGGTTTCTGTAAGGGACTCTGTAAAATCTGGGAATTTCCTAAGTGAAAGGATTATCTTTGTTAGTCCCAGGGACCAGGACCCAACTCTTGCTGATGCTGTGACCCCACTCCTAGATGCTGGTTGGGCTCCTAGATCATTTTCAGATCTTGCAGGAAGGACCAATCATGAAGTTAGATAATTGTGCCTCATGCTCAGGGATTTCAGGTAGACTTCTGGGGACAGAGTGGGGATCGAGATGCTGGAACTGGGTTCTGTCATGTTACAGTGAGCTTGTCAGTCATGTTTATGTACTGAAACCCCTGTTAGACGCTCCTTACCAGCCAGCACTCTGGCAGAGAGAGGAGGTCCTCATCCTTCAAAAGCATTTCCAGGAAGCGTGCATTTGTGACCCTCCAGACCTTGCCTTGTGGGTCTCTTAGCCCTGCCCCAGCGCACAGCCTTTATAATAATTGTTGGTGTACTGCTTTCCTGAGTCCTGAGAGCTGTTCTAAAGGAATCGCTGGACATCAGAAGGTTGTGGGTATTTCAGAAGTTTGGGTGGCTAGACCTTCCCTCCCCCAAAAGCCTTATAGTTTCTTAAATAAAGGCCTTCTTCCAGAAGGCTATGGAGTGTGTGCTGACTGTGGACAGTTAGTGTTAGAACTGCAGTTTGGTGAGTGCAGTTAGATTTTCAGTTGTTAGGTTACCGAGGAAACCAATTTTTAAGTCACGTTTGTTGCTTTTAATTATATGGTTCTTTTAATTTGTGTGGTACTTGGGAATTGAACCCAGGGCTTCATCCATGCTTGGAGCATACTCTACCTCTGGGCTGTACATTCATCTTGACAAACTTTTAAACTGTCTCCTCCTGTGTCTTTTTATTAATATTGTTTTGACAGTGAAGTTGGAAGGTCCTAATTTCTAGTCTAATTATAAACCACATTCGAATTGAAATGAAATGAAAATGACGACAGAGCTGTGTGCCGCCCAGTCAGTTGTTTCCTTTTCTGTACATAAAAAAACAAAAACGTTTTCAGTTCATGAGGTCCCTTTTATCAGTTGCTGGCTTTCCTTCTCGAGGAGCTGGAGTCCTGTTTAGAAAGTCTACAGAAATAGCTCTATCAAAGGATAGGCCTGCCATGAAAGAGTGGTGATAACTAAATAAAAGAACACTACCTCTCAGGCTCACGGATTTGCAGGAGTAAAGAGTCGCTGGTGCACTGTGTGTGCTGATATTTTAGGCACTTTGAGTAGAGGGGAAAGAAAACGAAACAGATTAGCTAATCAGGGCAATTAGTACTGGGTTGTTAGATACAAAGCAGAGGTGCGAAAGTAAGTCGTGTTGAGGAAGGAGCTTTAGGGGCAAAGACAGGGAGAGGACGCAGCAATGGCGGAGCTGACCGCAAAGAAAGGAAATCAAACGACGTCGGATATTCTCAGGCTTAGGGGCTGAGACGAAGAGTGGCAGACATGGCTGCCTGTGCTGGTTGAGAAGGAAAAGGGAAACGGCACGGGAAGACTAGAGGGACACGGGACCAGAGTGAAGCGTGGAGGGAGTCGACAGTGGGTACTGCACAGAGGAATGCACAGAGCAAGCCGCGCAGATGGAGTGTAGAGTATGAACACAGTCTTGACGGCTGGTCCATCTGCTGGTGTCAGTCCTGGCTCTATGGATATGTCCCTGGGCCATCCTGTCCTTGTCTAGGGCCTTCCTTTGGAGATGAAGTTGCAGATGCGGTCCAGTTAGTGGGCAGTTCTTCACAGGTGGAGTACCAGATGCTGCCTATGCTTGTGGGTTCACCCTCACCCGAAAGTCAGGTGGCTTGTGTCCTTTTCACTGGTTTTCCAAGGGAGAAGAGGACAACTTTGTCTGTCGTCTTGGAATTGGATTTCTGATCACAGATTTCCATGACAGATAGGTAGGGGTGCGTGCGTGTGTGTGTGCGCGCGTGCGTGTATGCGTGTATGCACACACGAGTGCAGGCACATACACGCCACACTTTACCTATGGAGATCAGAGGACAACTTTGGGGAATTGGTTTTCTCCTTTACTGTGGGCTCTGGGATTTGAACTCAGGTTGTCAGGCCTTCAAAGTTATTTTACCCCATTGTTGTAGGAGCTGTGGGTTGCATTTTCCCACCCAGCTCCCGCCACCGGCTAGCTTTACCCGAAATAACAACACACAAATTGTATTCTTTTAAACACTGCTTGGCCCATTATATCTAGCCTCTTTTAGGCTAATTTTTACGTATTAATTTAGCCCATTTTTAATAATCTGTGTAGCACCTCTAGGTGCGCTTACCAGGAAGATTCTAGCCTACATCCATCCTGGGTCAGAGCTTCATCAATCGCGTCTGCCGGGGAGAGGGAAGCATGGCCTCTGAGCTCACTTTCTCTTCCTCCCAGCATTCTGTTCTGTTTACTCCTCCCACCTATGTTTTAACCTATGAGGGCCAAGCAGTTTCTTTATTATAATTAACCAATGACCTTTCTCCATCACCCCATGAGCCACCTCTCTACTCAATAGTCACAAACTCTTGAATTCAGGTAGCTTTGTTATGTCAGGGCAAGGTACATTCTTCTTTGGGCATCATTATGCCCAATTTTAAAGCAGAAAATTGGATTGGATTGCAGGCTATCTGAGATTTTCTCTACAAGGAACGCTGTGATTCCAGAAGCTCGAGACACCCTGGAGGCACAGCGTGTCTGGGGTAGTTGTTCACTGACGTATCTTTGATGGTCCTATACAACACATGACTATTGGCTCTCTACAGAGAAACAGGAATAGACTCTCTTTCTGGGATTTTCTTGTAGTTCAGGCTCTACATTATTAGCTAAACAGTCTTCCCGTTGAGTGACAGGTAACCCTCTGTTCACATATGTGGGTCATAGTGAACAGTAAGCCCTAAGAAGTAACCACGAAGACTTAATACTTATTTTCATCCTTATAGGTATTGTCTGGACAGAAGCAACTTTAATGGAATATTTGGAGAACCCAAAGAAATTCATCCCTGGCACTAAAATGATCTTTGCTGGTATCAAAAAGAAGAGTGAGAGAGAAGATCTTATTCAGTATTTGAAACGGGCAACATCCTCATGAATTAGAAGTACAGCTTCAAAAATACTAGTTCTCAATTTCAAATATTGTTCTTAATAAGAAGCAATTTCTGCTCTTTCTTGATCAGCCTGTAGTAATTTTAACACGTTAAATAAAGGTTGATATTTTTGATTGTGTATAGTCCACTCATGAGAAATTGATTTTCATTATTGTGCTTGCCTTTTACTTAACTGAAAACAGGGAACATATAGTCAAACCTTGGGAATGCTTTTTTGGGGGGGGGGAGAAAGAGAGAGAATGAATGAATTATGGATCCTGAGTGAATAAAACAAAATCTAGATGGAAGGAGAAAGTCATGGCCTGCCTACTTTGATAAGCACATCTTGGGGTTTTTTTTGCTTTTGCATCTTTAAGCTCTCTAATCCTAAATAACACAAAGCTGGGCCCAGGCTCTTTTGAGGGTAAAAGCCCCAGTCAACTACTCAAAAGGCAGAGAGAGCCCATCTCAAAGTCACCAGTGCAAAGCATGGTGGGGCAGGCCCACGCCAGCTAGTGGAGGGCACAGTGCTCTCTGCAGTGAGGCTTCTCCTGAACAGGACCGGCATCCAAATGATGGGGTCCCAGGGAGGAGGGAACAGCTTCCATACCAAAGAGATGGGTAGAAGACTAGTTAGGGGCCATGACAGGGAAGGATGAAATACCTGTTACCCCATTTATGCTTCACATCACCACCCCAGGGTCTTAGGGGTCAACTTCATCCTCTAAGTGGTACCTAGAGTTTAGTTCAGTCCAGAAGCAAAGCATTGATCTTCTACCGATAACTTTCACCTTTATCAGCACTTGACTTACAGTATGTACTGCTACTGTGAGATGAACTAGTTGAAAAGGAGCAAATTCTAGAAGGTTCCATTAAATTTGCTAAGTGCTCAAGCTTACTCTTGTTATCCCTGACGAGTTGGAAGAAATGTACTTCTCTGGGATGCCAGGGTCAGTAGTGTGTGGAAACCTGTCTGGGAATCGAGAGTGGCTTCAGGCAAGGCTAAGCTAGTCATGTTCTCCCTCAGGGTGTTTTCTGAGAGGACAGAGAGGTTGCAGGGTCTCTGAGGGTGTGCCCAGAGCAGAGCTGGGTTTGCAGAGCTGTTACCTCAAATCAGGCACCACATCCCATACTAGTCTGCATGAGGCCCGTCAACTTTGTGAGACACAACTTATTCTCATTCGTAACTCAGTCCAGATCCACAGAGCCCTGCAGGAAAAATTTGCTGGTGTTGCTACAAGCTGCTGTTCCCTGCTGCAAGCTTCAGGCAGGAGGAAGGCGGCTTTAGGCTTTTTTTTTTTTTTTTTTTTTTTTAGGCTTTTGCCTTAGGAGTAGAAGCAGCTGTTCTGAGGACTGAGGTAATAAAAGGCATTTGGGTAGAAATGAGGAATAGTTTCTCTTCAAGTAGATTTCTGCTTCAGGAATTGTTGGGTTAGTAACATATTGAGTATAACATTAAACTTCAGAAAGAGTAAAGCAAGTCGTCCCCCCCACATACCCATTTTTTTTTAGTGGAAATGTTTTATTCATTCGAAAAGTTGGAGGAAATGTTACACATGCGCATGGTAATTGAAGTTGTGCGCTGTGATACACTTTATTATTGAAATTGTCTCTGAGAAGCTTACATTTATTTTAGGATGGCTTCTGGCCATGCAGACAGCTTTATTCAGTGCTGCTTTAGCTAGGTTACTTTGAGTCTCCCAGAATCCTCTGCGTAGTTCCCAGTCAGGCTGGTGACAAAAGCTTTATGCTTGAGACTGGGAGGAAGCAGGGCCAGGCAGAAGGCTTTATATTTTGTGGGTCAGCTCACAACCATGCACATAAACTATGCTCACCACACATCTGTTCGCTTTTGTGTTTGTCGGACAGCCACCTCTCCAACTCCTGCTGGCTCCTCTTTTCTGTGAGATCTAGAGCAGGTATTTGGCTGTTCTGACGGCAGACTGGCTTCTCTAGGTCACCCACATTAGTGGTGAACACCTGACTTGACAGGAGAGTACCAGTTTGCCCTCTCGGATTATCCTTGCTCTGTTGGTGCTTTTCCTAGCTGTCTGCCCTGAGGACTGAGCCCTAATGGCTTTAAGCTCATCTCTAGATCCCCAGCCAGTAACAATTACTCTAATCTGACCCAACTCCACCTAGGCTGCTCTAAGTCCCCTTCTTGACTAGGCCCTGGGTCTTGGCCTCTCTCCTTAGCTATTTAGACCCATGTTTAACCTGAATCCTACTTAATCAGTTCAGCAGATTCATGTCCGTGGCGCCTGAGCACTCCTATCTGCCTTCAGCAAAATCCTGTCAAGTTTATCCATCCAGAATCCCCTTTACCTCTGGCATTTCTTTCCTCTGACGCTTTTCCACTCCCTGATCTGCTCCTGGGCTGTTCCTGGGCTGTAAGTCCCTGGTTGTTCTTTGGTCTTCTTTGTTGAGCTGATTTTTTTTTTTTTCAAGGCCAAAGTATCTTTCATAGTTGCTCCTTAAATCAGCACACCTTTAATCTCAGTACTCAGAAGGCAGAGGCAGGTAGATCTCTGTGAGTTCGAGTCCAGCCTGGTATACAGAGTGAGTTCCAGGACAGCCAGGACTGGTACACAGAGAAACCCTGTCTCAAAAAACAAAACAACAAAGCAGCATCATTTTACTGATTTTTCCTGTCTCAACAGCCTTCTGCAGTCTTCCCAAACCCCCTGGGTAGCTTCTGTGACTTGATTGTGATACTTTAGCCATCTACATTTGAATCTTTTCCTCCCCAGCTTCTACCTAAAGTTTGTGTGGTTTCAGCTCTAACGAGTCTCTTGTTCCCAGCACCCATGTGATCTTTCTCTCTAGGCAAAGACACTGTGGATACCATAGCTGTACATAGGCACCATAGCTGAACAACACAATTTGGGAGCAACAGGGACCTCAGGGTAATACACGGAATGTCCTTCAACCTGAATTAGGTGTGCCCTGATAGGGCAAGAAGAGAAAGTAAATTTACTAGAATCTAAAGTTGTCAAGTTATGTTAATGTCCCCTAAACTTAAATTAGATATTCAGGGGAAGAATACTTAGGGTAACTAAAAACATTTTATGATGATGAAATTTGAAAAAGTAAGTACTTTGATTTTATAGCACCACTTCCTAGAGCAGGAGACCAGAGATCAGGAAAAGTTATGCCGATGTGTATCAACAGAAAAACATTTAGAAGAACTGAGAAGTCAAATGATTGGATGAAAACTATTACCTGTAGTACCATCCATTTTAATAACCAATCTTAAGAGCTCTGAAAGAATAATGTATCGTTTACATAAAGTCAGACTGTGCAATCGTTTCACTTGGCAGCTTTGTGTGTCAGAAAGGGGCAGAAAAAACTCTTTAGGAAAAAGTGGGGCATTGTTAGATCTTACATATTCACTTCCCAGACATAAAGCTGGCGTTCATGTGGGAAGCAACATAACAATTGCTTTTCGAGAAGAGTAATTGTTTAATTGAACCCTTGTGTAGTACAAGATCACGGTGTACAATACAACTCATATGCTGTGTGTAATCCACTGTGTTTACTACAACAGTGCATGCTGTGTGTAATCCACTGTGTTTACTACAACAGCGCATGCTGTGTATAATACACTGTATTTACTACAACAGCATGTGGAAGGTTTGCTTGTTTGCTGAGCCCTCCTGCTTCATCACCTTCTAAAATAGCACAGGCAGGAATTCTCTGGATTTCTCACTTTGTAATCTTAACTGTCCACGTGTGAGTTTGAAACCACAGTGTCACACAGTTCTGCTTGACTTCCTGATTGTGCCCTCAGTGGGACCTCATTTAAGCAGATAAACTAAGTGGTGCAGGAGGATCAGGGTGTGGGAGGATATATCTATATATCTATATATCTATATATCTATATATCTATATATATATATATATATATATATATATATAACGTGTATGTGGTAGGACAGATCTCTCATTTTCTAATATATTTTATTTCTGGAATCATTTATTTAAATTCAGAAAGAAAATTAAGAAAATTCAGTATGAAAACAAAACCATTCAAGAAGGTGTATGTGGGACATCCTCCCTACTCTCCCACATCTTTCCTCTCTACCATTAAAAGATGAAATTCCTGGGTGTGATGACGTAAGCCTGTAATCCTAACATCTGATAGGCTGAGGCAGGAGGATATGAAGTACCAGTCAGCCCACTGCACAGTAAGAACTTGTCTCAAGAAACTGAGAACAAACCAACAAACAATGACAAGAACAAACTACAGAACAAAAGATAAAGACAGGAGAAAAGGAAAGAATAAAAGGAAAGGTAGGGATACAAAAAACTCTACTCCCTGCCCCAATTAAAAATCATACAAAATGTAAGGGTACAGAGACAGAGACCAGAAAGCATTAAGAAATAAAGAAAAGGGAGGTTCTTTCATAACCAAATACCTAGTCGGTGCTAATCCTCAAATGTAGAATTAGACCCTGGGTCCCTGTCCTCCAGTATCTGACTTTTCTACCTTTTAGGTTGGATATAGTCAAGTCTTTGAAATCTGAGGTCCATGAACTTTAAATTACCACCACCCATACATAATGTCTGTCCTATCGAAATCTGAAACAATTGCATGGAATCAAATTTTTATTGTATTAATCCTGCTCAGAGCCTCAGTTTTAGTTAACTATCCTTTTTTGTAAGATACTTGACATTATGTGAAAATACTGACTTCATAAACGCAGTTTGATAATTAAAATAGTGGTGGGGAAAAAGAAGTGTGTGTCCATGTCTGCCATGGTGAGACTGTGCTCTGGTACAACCAAAGGTTGCAGGGGGACGTTTCTGTCCCACCAGTCGCTCCCCAAAATAACAACACAGAGACTTAATTGTAATTTTACAAATGCTCAGCCGATAGCTTAGGCTTATTTTTAGCTCGCTCTTATAACTTAAATTAACCCATTTTTATTAATCTGTGTGCTGCCCTGAGGCCTATTTACTTCAGGTACATACTTCCCATCATGCTTGCTCTGTGTCTCATGATGTCTCCCCTGACTCCGTCCTTCTTCTCCCCAGCATTCTCTCTGCCCCCCCCAAACCCTGTGTAACCTTTGGTCAATCAGCTTTTTTATTAACAAT